TCAATAATATTACGGCGGTGGAAGTGAATGGGAAAAGCACATCATTGCAGAATGACAGCCACAAAACTTCAGTTATTTCCTCTCGGTGTTTTCATAGGGAAATCTTGGTCTTGGTAAATGACATCCTCTGTGTTTTAACGGCTGTAAAAATAACAGAATGCCAAGATGGTGAATCATGCATGTTTCAGCAAGTGTATGAAGTATCAACTGAGTATCAGCAGATGAGTTGGAGAAGATCACCGCGATATAGGCTTTTTTTTTTTCTTTTTGGCATATACTCGTACAACTTTAAAGCATGACCATTATGTGAATGTCGCAAATGAGATTAAAACAATGAAAACTTTTGGTTTTTGAATGGTGATTATGCTTGACAGTAATTTATAAATTTCTGCGTATTTTCAGACTAATTGAGCACCATCTTCTTTGAGAACAAGTCCCTTTGTGGGTTCCCTTGGATTATTTTCTGTTTCCTCGATTGGTCAACTTGAACATTTAAAGAAACAATATCTAAGACCACGGTCCTTTCTTTTTCCAGATAAAGGGGCTAGGGTCTTGGCTTAATTTGGGATAATTCCATGATTAAATGGAAGATAGACCCAAGGAAGAAACCCCTATGAACATAAGAATAAAAAAAAAAAAAAAAAAAAAAAAAATCATTGAAACATGAACTGTGTTGCCATTGAGTTTCCTTAAACGGTATTGCAGGTGTCATGGAGATCTCTCGGTGTCATCGGATTCCTTCTCACTCAGGCAGCGTCCATCATCGTAATGGGTTATCAGTCTGTTGGCATTGATCTGCCTCGATTCTGCATGTGAGATAATTTTGGGAGAGATAAGAAAAAAAAAAAAAAAAGGTATAAGATAAATATACATATAGTTAGTTAGCAAATTAATCAGAAGTGGGCTAACCTGACATTTTCTAAGAAGTGCAGGAAGGGTGAGGGAGAATATCACTCAGAAAAATTTGAAATTCTTTTCTATAACTTGATGATGGAGAGCTAGGCTATACTAGAATAAGCGATTATTGATACTAGAAATATTCAAGTATTCAGATGTTATGGTTGCTCTTTTGGTATGATTGTTTTCTATGGATATTGAGACTTTGTGTGAATTGTATTTACTGAATGATAGTCCCAACTCTCAGGAAAAACTATGGACTTTATGTCTTTTCATGTTGTCGAACTAGATATAGTAGTTGTACAGTGAGTATGGTGCTGTAAATTGTATTTTCAGAATGATGGTCCCCAACTCTCAGGAAAATCAGGACTTTTTTTTTATGTCTTTTCATGTTTTCTAACATATAATAGTATTGTACAGTAAGTTGGTAAGGTGCATAATCTTCCTTTCAGGTCTCCAAGGTGATGATCTTTCTAAGACAATTTCTGAAACTTTTTAAACTAGCTCTTCTTGTTTTATATAGAGATCTGACTTGTAGCCATTGTTTGGAATCTGATTTTGTCTTGCAGCTCCCACGAAGAACTATCTTTTGCGTTTACTGCATCACTTGATTCCTACTCAAATGGTTAACCTGTACCTCTTTCTGAACATCAAATCCTTCCTGACAGTTTTCCATGTCCTGGACTTAAGAATTGCCTTTTTATCTGAAGTTAATGAAGGCAGAGTAGAAAAAATTCAGTATGCTCATAACTAATAAGCTTTCCTCAAAATTTCTGAGACACTGAGCATGTAAGCAAAGATAGAAAAGTATAAAGTTTTAAGGATTGGTAAGATAGAAGAATTTTAGTTCTGTCAGCCAGATGTATTTATCTAACTATCAGTCTATACCTGGAAGTATTTTAGCAGCTTCTGATACTAGAACAAAAGTGTGCAAAGTTTTTCCACATCTCGCAATGAATCGTGTCTGCTAACAGCGATCTTGCACATGATCAGCAATACTATTAGTTTTTGAGAAGAAAATGAAGAAGCAATATTTTGAATTACTGAAGTGACTAAGAATAATTGAGAAGTAACATAACCTGCAATGAAACTCTGAAAGCCTGGTGTAGCAGAACTAACAATGTGATTGACAGGATCATCGGACAAGCCAGACAAGGCACTAGAAATCTGCGAGGATTTGCCTGCTAACCATAGAAAACAAAATAAATTAAACCAAGGAGAACTGGATAGCTGGAGTAAACCACTTATACAAAGATAATTTTGCAGCCGAATGAAGTAAATAATGATTGAAGCCCTATTCAGCTCTGGAGGCAACGAAAAAAAGCAACCATTCTTAAGTTAATTGTTGTACTCTTCTCAAATCTCTTAACTTAAAAATTAATTCCTTGTAGTCTGGTGTGCGGAAATTCTCACCGACCACAAGCAAAGAGAAGTATTTGAGTTACAATGGAAAGAGTTGAAAACCTTTTGTTCATTTATGCCTTTGATGGCGGATCCTTGTCATTTGAATCAAGGAACTCATGAGACTTTCTCTTCCTGGATGCATGTAAGAGCTGTGGCCAGACAACCCAATAGCTAGATATGCAGTGTTCGCTGCCGGATGCATAATTTTCTCTTATAATTTTCCCGCCAGGAAAAGCTATTTCTCCTCGATCCTTGAAAATTGCACATGTTTGTATTACTAAGGTTTCCATAGTATCAGTCTCCTTAGATCCTTCAAAAAAAGAGTCTCTTTCAGAGAGCCATCCTTTCCACAGATTCTCAAAATTCTTACAGTACAACATTTGCATTTTCAGAGCAGAACACTTTAGCATGGTAGCATTCACAATTTTCTTGAGGCACCCGGTCTTCTTGCAGCCGCATCCCTTGTAGTGTTTTCCCACCATTGGAACATTCTCCTTATCATCCTATACTTGTCACAGACCATACCACACATGGAAATCAGAAATTGCAATATTGGATAAGAAAATCTATACATGGACAAAAATACAATGCCATGAACTATTCTATGATTTCTTTTTATGTTAAGCTTTAGAACCAAATCAAAATCCAGATAAAGGGAAGGAATCAAATCAACATACGTGAGTGTTTTATTTGACTAATATAAGTCTTCATATGCATACAAATCCTAGCTGAATACTACTGTAACATGACATAAAGTGATGGAAAACAGCAAATATCAACACACAACGAACAACACTGCTTCAGTCATAATCCAATATACATACAGAACTTGAAAGATCTCATTTTTCATACCCCATATTTAGAGACTACATGGATGCAAGCAATCTTTGGGCTGAATGCGGAAGGGCTACGCTCCAGTATATTTTCTACAGCTGCTTCCCTTAGAGCCTCATTTTCAACATTATTTCGACACCAATGCACTTGCACTTGCGCTCATCGCAATATACTCCAGCAGCGAAGCACTGACAGTACCTAATCATCAAAGATAATACTCTCTAACCAATTACACCTCTAGCTAAAGCAAAGACATAACACTAGAAATAAGTATATACATACTCGCTGTCTAGCTTTCAATCAAGTATACTCACAGCTTTAAGCTCTTGATCGTTTGCAACAGCAACCATGTTGGCTTTAATGTTGGCTGTAAATTTAATCTTGGAGACTAGCTTTCCTGCTTGAGATAATGTCAGAGCAAACCTCAGTAGACTTTTGAAATCAACAATTAAACTCAACATCAAGTCCATTTTTTTTTCTTTTTTTTCCTATCATTTCTCAGCAACCAAATAAGTAAATTTGTAGTTTTTTTATCAAAAAGACAAAGTCTTTCCTCCGTAAAGGAAAAAAAAAAGCATATCAGTGAAAGATCTTTTAATTAAATTAAAAAAAAAAAAAAAAGCACTGACGATGGAGGCAAATGCAACCCGTGTTTGGCTCGGCCGGGAAATCGAGAGCTCTGGTGATCGCATTGTAGTGACCGGAGACAAGCCAAACTCCGTGAAAACTAGCTGCTAATGAGATTCACTGGCGAGGAAACAGCTCTCCGTAGCCAATTGATGCTTTTGTAATGGTTTTGGTTGGTTTTGGCGGGGGACTGATCTCTCTGTAACTGAATCGGTCGCTTTAACCGACTTCACTGTTTTGAGGAAGAAGATTGATGATCACATTTTCCGCCATCGAGGTTTGTTCTCTGTATTGTAGCTCAGACAATTTATTTAGGAACGAAGGAAATTTTATAATAAGTTTAAATTTTGTTATTGGAGAAGCTTTCAACATTAAAATGGCAGATTTTGGATTTTGTAATGTTTTCCTTCATTTTCTCTGATTTTCTCGGCATCCAAACAGAGTGACAAATTTTGAATTCGAAAAGTTTGTGAAGAGATAAGGAGAGTTAAGAGAGAAGTTTTGGAGGGAAAATGGCTTTTAATTAGAGGATTTAAAATGTGAAGCGATAAGTCAGAAGATATCGTGTTAAGTATTAAATCATTCGATAAAGAAAATATATATTAAAGAAAAAAGAAGAAAAAAAAAAGCTATATTAGAAGCTGAATTTCAATTAACAGAATTTCATTAGAATTTTGAGTTATCTAACGCATATATGACATGAGTGTCTGTATGAGTGGATTTAGCCTCATAATACTTATTCACGCGACATAAGTCAAACCCAACATACGTTGCTTAACCGGCAACATTATGAAGCAAGATTTAAACTCGTAATGTTCCTTTAGTTACGTTACATGTCAAATTCAATCTTAAGTACATAATAGGCTTATGTAAGAGAGAAGTTTTGGAGGGAAAATGGCTTTATCGAGGGTTTAAAATGAGAAGAGATAAGTCCGAACGAGTATGTTGTTTAATATTTAAATGATTCGAAACAGAAAAATATATATTAAAAGGAATATAAAATAACGAATATCAATTCAATAACGTTATTGATCCAACTCAAATTAAAGAGATTAATGTTTTTTTAAGGCTCTTTTAAATCACCAGAAATTAAGTAATAAAGTTTAAGAGGAAAGAATCACTAATTCTAATAATTTTTTTTCATTTTAGTGAGTTGGAAAAGCTAATATTAAGTTAGTTAATAACCAACGAGATTTTCCCGCCAGTAACCGTTACTTTCCTTCAATACTAGAATCATTCAAAAATAAATTTCTAAATTGCTTCTTCTATTTGATCAGTTTTCACATCTCTCATTCTTCAATATTCATCTTACATTTTGATTCTTTGTTTAATTTCTGAAATAAAAATCCAAAATGATCCTTCATTGTAATTCTATCAAAACCAAGCTTAAAAAAACCCATTCCTCTTACGCTTCACTCTCCTCTCTTCTCAACAACAACAAAAATATATATGTTTTCACTTGCTGTAATTATCACTCACAGATTATTCAACAGAAAACTGATGCAAATACACACAATTTTTCGCCCTCTTCATCAAAATTACCCACCAAACAAACCCATCAATTACCTTCATATTACGTCTCTCTTTTGCAATCTTGCATAGCCCATAAAGCCGTAAACCCTGGTAAACAGCTGCATGCCCATATTTTTCACATGGGTTTTGGATTTAACCTTTATTTAGCTACTAAATTAGTCAATCTTTATAGTGTTTGTGATTCTTTACGTAATGCACATCTGTTGTTTGATAGAATTCCTAAGGGAAATTTGTTTCTTTGGAATGTGCTCATTCGTGGGTATGCGTGGAACGGGCCTTATGAGGTTGCAATTGAATTGTATCATAGATTGATTGAGTATGGTCTTTCGCCTGATAATTTTACTTTCCCGTTTGTGTTAAAAGCCTGTTCTGCGCTTTCGGCTGTTGAAGAAGGGAGGAAAATTCATGAAGATGCTATAAGAACTAACTGGGAAACGGATGTGTTTGTTGGGGCTGCGCTTATTGACATGTATGCGAAATGCAGTTGTGTGGAAAGTGCTAGGGAAGTGTTTGATAAGATTTTAGTGAGGGATGTTGTGTTGTGGAACTCTATGATTGCTACTTACGCGCAGAATGGGAAGCCAGATGAATCGCTAGAGTTATGTAGAAAGATGGTTTTGACGGGTTTAAGGCCATCTGAAGCAACTCTCGTGACTGTGATATCGGCTTCTGCTGATACTGCAGCACTTCCTCAAGGGAAGGAGCTTCATGGGTTTAGTTGGAGACACAGATTTGAATCCAATGATAAGGTGAAAACTGCATTGGTTGATATGTATGCAAAATGTGGTTCTGTGAAGGTTGCAAGGAAATTGTTTGAGCGGCTTAGGGAGAAGAGGGTTGTTTCTTGGAATGCGATGATTACTGGGTATGCAATGCATGGCCATGCTACGGAGGCACTGGAATTGTTTGAGAAAATGAAGAATGAGGCTCGGCCTGACCACATAACTTTTGTGGGTGTTCTATCTTCTTGTAGCCATCGTGGTTTGTTAGATGAGGGAAGGAATTTTTTTGAATCTATGATGAGGGATTATCGTATTGATCCGACAGTTCAACATTATACATGCATGGTTGATCTTCTTGGCCACTCTGGCCAATTGGATGAGGCCTATAATCTTATAATGCAAATGAGAGTGATGCAAGATTCTGGTGTGTGGGGTGCGTTGATGAATTCGTGCAAAATCCATGGATATGTGGAGTTGGCAGAACTAGCATTGGAGAAGCTGATTGAACTTGATCCAGATGATGCCGGGAACTATGTTATTTTATCAAACATCTATGCTCAAGCTGGAAAATGGGAAGGAGTTGCAAGGATGAGAAAGTTAATGATTGACAGGGGAGTTAAGAAAACCATTGCTTGTAGCTGGATTGAAGTGAAAAACAAAACTCATGCATTTCTTTCAGGAGATACTTCACATCCTAATAGTGACGAGATATATGAAAAATTAAAGTGGTTGGAAGGACGGATGAAAGAAGCTGGCTATGTCCCAGATACTGGATCAGTTTTCCATGATGTTGAGAATGATGAGAAGACAAGCATGGTTTGTAATCACAGCGAGAGGCTAGCAATAGCATTTGGACTCATTAGCACACCAGATAGAACCAGGATTTTGATAACCAAGAACCTCAAGATCTGTGAAGACTGTCATATTGCAATCAAGTTCATCTCGACAATTACAGAGAGGGAAATAATTGTTAGAGACGTGAATCGCTACCATCATTTTCATGATGGGGTGTGCTCTTGTGGTGATTATTGGTGAATGAAACAAGGAGAAGTCTTTTTGAGATTTCAAATTTATGATTTATTGTTCATTTGAGCAGTTACAATCTGACTAGTAGTCAGAAAATGATTGCTGAGAACGGAAAAAGGAAATCTGTTGGGGAACGGATCTGATCTGAAGGAAGCATATTTGTTTTATGAATTTGTTGATTTACTCACAGCACCTGGAGTGCATGGTATTCAGAAAATTGGGTCTAGCTTTTCTCTGGCTGCTTTGGAAAAAATGTAACTCGTGGTTGCTCAAGCTATGAGAGAAAATACCCCATCGGTAGAAAAAACTATTTGAACGGAGACTGGGGAAGGGAATCAATAATATTATAACGGCGGTGGAAGTGAATGGGAAAAGCACATCATTAGCAGAATGACAGCCACAAAACTTCAGTTATTTCACTCTCTGGTGTTTTCAGGGAAATCTTGGTCTTGGTAAATGATCATCCTCTGTGTTTTAACGGCTGTAAAAATAACAGAATGCCAAGATGGTGAATTCATGCATGTTTCAGCAAGTGTATGAAGTATCAACTGAGTATCAGCAGGATGAGTTGGAGAAGATCACCGCGATATATGGCTTTTTTTTTTTCCTTTTTGGCATATACTCTTTACAACTTTACAAGCATGACCTATTATGTGAATGTCGCGAAATGAGATTAAAACAATGGAAAACTTTTGGTTCTTGAATGGTGCATTATGCTTGACAGTAATTTATACATTTCTGCGTATTTTCAGACTAATTGAGCACCATCTTCTTTGAGAACAAGTACCCTTTGTGGGTTCCCTTGGATTATTTTCTGTTTCCTCGATTGAGTCAACTTGAACATTTAAAGAAACAATATCTAAGACCACGGTCCTTTCTTTTTCCAGATAAAGGGGCTAGGGTCTTGGCTTAATTTGGGATAATTCCATGATTAAATGGAAGATAGACCCAAGGAAGAAACCCCTATGAACATAAGAATAAAATGGAATTGAAAAAAAAAAAAAAAAAAGAGATCATTTGAAACATGAACTGTGTTGCTATTGAGTTTCCTTCAAACGGTATTGCAGGTGTCGATGGAGATCTCTCGGTGCCATCTGGATTCCTTCTCACTCAGGCAGCAGCTCCATCATCTGTAATGGGTTATCAGTCTGTTGGCATTGATCTGCCCTCGATTCTGCATGATGAGATAATTTTGGGAGAGATAAGAAAAAAAAAAAAAAAAAAAGGTATAAGATAAATATACATAATAGTTTAGTTAGCAAAATTAATCAGAAGTGAGGCTAACCTAGACATTTTCTAAGAAGTGCAGAGAAGGTGTGAGGGAGAATATCACTCAGAAAAAATTTGAAATTCTTTTTCTATAACTTGATGATAGAAAGAGCCTAGGCTATACTTACGAATAAGCGATTATTGATACTAGAAATATTCAAGTATTCAGATGTTATGGTTGCTCTTTTGGATATGATTGTTTTCTATAGGATATTGAGACTTTGCTGTTGAATTGTATTTACTGAATGATAGTCCCAACTCTCAGGAAAAACTATGGACTTTAATGTCTTTTCATGTTGTCGAACTAGATAATAGTAGTTGTACAGTGAGTATGGTGCTGTTAAATTGTATTTTCAGAATGATGGTCCCCAACTCTCAGGAAAATCATGGACTTTTTTTTTTATGTCTTTTCATGTTTTCTAACTATATAATAGTAGTTGTACAGTAAGTATGGTAAGGTGCATAATCTTACCTTTCAGGTCTCCAAGAGTGATGATCTTTCTAAGACAATTTCTGAAACTTTTTAACACTAGCTCTTCTTGTTTTATATAGAGATCTGACTTGTAGCCATTGTTTGGAATCTGATTTTGTCTTGCAGCTCCCACGAAAGAACTATCTTTTGCGTTTACTGCATCAACTTGATTCCTACTCAAATGGTTAACCTGTACCTCTTTCTGAACATCAAATCCTTCCTGACAGTTTTCCATGTCCTGGACTTCAAGAATATTGCCATTTTTATCTGAAGTTAATGAAGGCAGAGTAGAAAAAATTCAGTATGCTCATAACTAATAAGCTTTCCTCAAAATTTCTGAGACACTGAGCATGTAAGCAAAGATAGAAAAGTATAAAGTTTTTAAGGATTGGTAAAGATAGAAGAATTTTAGTTCTGTCAGCCATGATGTATTTTATCTAACTATTCAGTCTATACCTGGAAGTATTTTAGCAGCTTCTGATACTAGAACCAAAAGTGTGCAAAGTTTTTCCACATCTCTCGAATGAATCGTGTCTGCTAACAGCGATCTTGCACATGATCAGCAATACTATTAGTTTTTGAGAAGAAAATGAAGAAGCAATATTTTGAATTACTGAAGTGACATAAGAATAATTGAGAAGTAACATACACCTGCAATGAAACTCTGAAGAGCCTGGTGTAGCAGAACTAACAATGTGATTGACAGGATCATCGGACAAGCCAGACAAGGCACTAGAAATTCTGCGAGGATTTGCCTGCTAACCATAGAAAACAATAATAAATTAAACCAAGGAGAAGCTGGATAGCTGGAGTAAACCACTTATACAAAGATAATTTTGCAGCCGAATGAAGATAAATAATGATTGAAGCCCTATTCAGGCTCTGGAGGCAACGCAAAAAAAGCAACCATTCTTAAGTTAATTGTTGCTACTCTTCTCAAATTCTCTTAACTTAAAAATTAATTCCTTGTAGTCTGGTGTGCGGAAATTCTCACCGACCACATAGCAAAGAGAAGTATTTGAGTTACAATGGAAAGAGTTGAAAACCTTTTGTTCATTTATGGGCCTTTGATTTGGCGGATCCTTGTCATTTGAATCAAGGAACTCATGAGACTTTCTCTTCCTGGATGCATGTAAGAAGCTGTGGCCAGACAACCCAATAGCTGTAGATATTGCAGTGTTCGCCCGCTGGATGCATAATTTTCTCTTATAATTTTCCCAGCCAGGAAAAGCTATTTTCTCCTCAGATCCTTGAAAATTCTTGCACATGTTTGTATTACTAAGGTTTCCATTAGTATCAGTCTCCTTAGATCCTTCAAAAAAAGAGTCTCTTTCAGAGAGAGCCATCCTTTCCACAGATTCTTCAAAATTCTTACAGTCAACACATTTGCAATTTTCAGAGCAGAACACTTTAGCATGGTAGCATTCACAATATTTCTTGAGGCACCCGGTCTTCTTGCAGCCGCATCCCTTGTAGTGTTTTCCCACCATTGGAACATTCTCCTTATCATCCTATACTTGTCACAGACCATACCACACATGGAAATCAGAAATTGCAATATTGGATAAGAAAATCTATACATGGACAAAAATACAATGCCATGAACTATTCTATGATTTCTTTTTATGTTAATGCTTTAGAACCAAATCAAAATTCCAGATAAAGGGAAGGAATCAAAATCAACATACGTGAGTGTTTTATTTGACTAATATAAGTCTTCATATGCATACAAATCCTAGCTGAATACTACTGTAACATGACATAAAGTTGATGGAAAACAGCAAATATCCAACACAACAACGAACAACACTGCTTCAGTCATAATCCAAATATACATACAGAACTTGAAAGATCTCATTTTTCATACCCCAATATTTAGAGTACTATATGTGCAAGCAATCTTTGGGCTGAATGCGGAAGGGCTACGCTCCAGTATATTTTCTACAGCTGCTTCCCTTAGAGCCTCATTTTCAACATTATTTCGACAATTAATGCACTTGCACTTGCGCTCATCGCAATATACTCCAGCAGCGAAGCACTGACAGTACCTAATCATTCAAAGATAATAACTCTCTAACCAATTACACCTCTAGCTAAAGCAAAGACAATACACTAGAACTAAGTATAATACATACTCGCTGTCTAGCTTTCAATCAAGTATACTCACAGCTTTAAGCATCTTGATCGTTTGCAACAGCAACCATTGTTGGCTTTAATGTTTGGCTGTAAATTTAATCTTGGAGACTTAGCTTTCCTGCTTGAGATAATGTCAGAGCAAACCTCAGTAGACTTTTGAAATCAAGAATTAAACTCAAACATCAAGTCCATTTCTTTTTTTTCCTATCATTTCTCAGCAACCAAATGTAAGTAAATTTGTAGGTTTTTTATCAAAAAGACAAAGTCTTTCCTCCGTAAAAGGAACAAATAAAAGCAATATCAGTAGAAAGATCTTTTAATTAAAATCTAAAAAAAAAAGCACTGACGATGGAGGCAAATGCAACACCGTGTTTGGCTCGGCCGGCGAAATCGAGAGCTCTGGTGATCGCATTGTAGTGACCGGAGACAAGCCAAACTCCGTGAAAACTAGCTGCTTAATGAGATTCACTGGCGAGGAAACTAGCCTCTCAGTAGCCAAATTTGATGCTTTTGTAATGGTTTTGGTTGGTTTTGGCGGGAGGACTGATCTCTCTGTAACTGAATCGGTCGCTTTCATAACCGACTTCAACTGTTTTGACGGAAGAAGATTGATGATCACATTTTCCGCCATCGAGGTTTGTTCTCTGTATTGTAGCTCAGACAATTTATTTAGGAACGAAGGAAATTTTATCAATAAGTTTAAATTTTGTTATTGGAGAAGCTTTCAACATTAAAAATGGCAAGATTTTGGATTTTGTAATGTTTTCCTTCATTTTCTCTGATTTTCTCGGCATCCAAACAGAGTGACAAAATTTTGAATTCGAAAAGTTTGTGAAGAGATTATTAGATTAAGAGAGTTAAGAGAGAAGTTTTGGAGGGAAAATTGGCTTTTAATTAGGAGGGTTAAAAATGTGAAGCGATAAGTCTGAAGAGTATCTGTGTTTAAGTACTTAAATCATTCGATAAATAGAAAATATATATTAAAAGAAAAAAAAAAAAAAAGCTATATTAGAAGCTTTAATTTCCGATTAACAGAATTTTATTAGAATTTTGAGTTATCTAACGCATATAATGATATGAGCGTCTCTATGAAGTCAAATCTAGTCTCATAATACTCATTCGACGCGGCATAAGACAAATCCAACCTCATGTTGCTTAGCCGGCAACGTTATGAAGCAAGATTTAAACTCAGCATGTTCCTTTAGTTATGTTACATGCCAAATTTAATCTTAAGCACATTATTAGGCTTACAATTAAAAGAGAAGTTTTGGAGGGAAAATTAGCTTTTGTTAGGAGGATTTAAAACGTGAAGAGATAAATCCGAAGAGTATGCGTGTTTAAATATTTAAATGATTCGATAAATAGAAAATATATATTAAAAGAAAAAAAAAAGCTATATTAAAAGCTTTAATTTCCGATTAACAAAATTTCATTAGAATTTTAGTTGTCTAATGCATATAATGACAGGAGCATCTCTAAGAGGTCGAAGCCTCATAATGCTTATTCGACGCGACGCAAGGTAAATCCAACCACACATTGCTTAATCGGCAACATCATGAAGTAAGATTTAGACTTACAATGCTCCTCTAGTGACGTTACATGCCAAATTCAATCTCAAGTACATTATTAGGCTTACAGTTAAGCAAGAAGTTTTGGAAGGAAAATTGGCTTTTGATGGGAGGGTTTAAATTGTGAAGAGATAAGTTCGAAGAATATGTGTGTTTAAGTATTTAAATGATTCGATAAATAAAAAATATATATTTAAAGGAAACAAAAAAAAAAAAAAAAAAAGAGCTGTATTAGAAGAGTAAATTTCCGATTAATATAATTTCATTAGAATTTTGAGTTGTCTAATGCATATAGTGACATGAGCGTCTCTAGGAGGTCAGATCTAGCCTCATAATACTTATTCGATGCGACGTAAGGCAAATCCAACCACATGTTGCTTAACTAGCAACATCATGAAGTAAGATTTAGACTCTCAATGCTCCTCTTGTGACCTTAACTGTCTCTAGAAGGTCAGATCTAGCCTCATAATACTTATTCGACACGACGTAAGGCAAATTCAACCACATGTTGCTTAACTGGCAACATCATGAAGTAAGATTTAGACTCTCAATGCTCCTCTTGTGACCTTAACTGTCTCTAGAATGTTAGATCTAGTCTCATAATACTTATTCGACGCGACGTAAGGCAAATCCAACCACACGTTGCTTAACTGGCAACATCATGAAGTAAGATTTAGACTCTCAATGCTCCTCATGTGACGTTACATGCCAAATTCAATCTCAAGTACATTGTCAGACTTATGGTTAAGAGAAAGTTTTGGAGGGAAAATTGGCTTTTGATCGTAAGATTTAAAATGTGAATAGTTAAGTTCGAAGAGTATGCGTGTTTAAGTATTTAAATGATTCGATAAATAGAAAATATACATTAAAAGAAAGAAAAAAAACTAAATTTGAAGATTAAATTTTCGAGATTAACAGAATTTCATTAGAATTTTGAGTTGTCTAACGCATATAATGACATAAGCGTCTCTATGAGGTCAAATCTAACCTCATAATACTTATTCGACGCGACATAAGGCATATCCAACCACACGTTGCTTAACTGACAACATCATGAAGTGAGATTTAGACTCGCAATGCTCCTTTAGTGACGTTACATGCCAAATTCAATCTCAAGTACATTATTAGGTTTATAGTTAAGAGAGAAGTTTTGGAGGGAAAATTGGCTTTTGATCAAAGGATTTAAAATGTGAAGAGATAAGTCCAAAGAGTATGCGTGTTTAAGTATTTAAATGATTCGATAAATAGAAAATATATATTAAAAAAAAAGCTATATTAGAAGCTTAAATATTTTATTAATAGAATTTCATTAATTTTAAGTTCTCTAATGCATTTAGTGACATAAGTGTCCCTAGGAGGTCGAATCTAACCTTGTAATGCTTATTCAACATGACGTGAGGCAAAATCCAACAACATGTTGCTCAACCAGAAAAATCATGAAATAAGATTTAAGACTCGCAATGCTCCTCTGACGACGTTATACGCCAAATTCAATCTCAAGTACATTGTTAGGCTTATATCAACATCGAGAGACCGCTAGAAATCACGAGGCCTATTGTAACAACTTTGTGCAAGGGTGAAGGTTATTGATTTAAGAATTGAAGGGGATTAAAATAGAATAGAAAGGATAAAATCGTCATTTTATACGTGAATGGAGTTTTATATGATTTTTAAAGGTTTAATATTTTCAAAACCAATGATTTTCACTCTCAAATCTCAATCAATACCTTAAAGATGGGGAGGTTGACATAAACTTCCCTTACAAGGGTTTATATAATAAATAACCTCCTAAATCATCCTTTAATTTCATCTGCCTATTTTTCATTAAGTATTAAAAACTCTTAAGATTTGTTACCATATACAAGTATCAAAAACCCTTATGATGATTGTGGGTATATTTGAAATTAAGATTAAATATTTTTATACTAAGTCATTTTTTTTTTTATTTATCTTTATATTATATGATTGATAATTATTAAATCTAGTATATAAAATAATTAATGATGCAATTAACGTGATTTTATTATAATAGTACAATAGACTTTTTTTCTTTTGTATGATTGGGGTGTCCGAGTTAGTTTGTCCGTACCTCAATTAATCCCCTATGACCTTAGAACTATCACTGAGTAAGAGTTCTAGTGGTTATCTCTAATATCAATTTTTTTTTTTTTTTAGTGATTGAAGATGTCTAGACCAGCTTACGCTCACCTAAACTAATCCTCTTGGACCCTAGAATTATCGATCAAGTAAAAGCTCCTATGACTACTCCTATTAGCAACTGAGAAGGGATTTGAACTTAGGACCTCTTGAATAATGCACTCAAGAGTCCATATCGAACCATTCGAGTACCCAGAGGTAGTTGTACGATAGACTTTATCTTTAGACATTACGAATTGAATATTAAAACTATGTTGGTTTAGCAATGGATAAAAGATGATTTTATTATTTTGTTCTATCTATTTCCCATTTTATCTACACATAGTACAATATAACTTTTTATGGAGAAAGTTTTAATAAAAATTAGGAGTCCGTTTGGCTCTTTATTTCATACCCTATTCTGAATCCTATTCTTAAAATAATTGTTTGTTTCATTATTTAGGAAATACTATTATATTATATTTAATTTCTTTTAGACCCCTTAAGTTTATTAATTTAATTAAAAACCCCTAGAAAAAAGTTTAAAAATTAACAAAAACACCCCCACCCACCCATAGTTGCCAAATTCCAACAACCACCATCGGTGGTAGCCAGAATCTATCACAACGACGTACAAACGACCGCTGATGGCCAGATCTGGCCTTTTGCGATCGTCGATCTGGCATTTTCCGGCCAGATCGACGCACGACCAGTCAAATCTAACCAGTCTGCGTTGTAACGCTAGATTCCAACCAGATTTCGACGATGATGGCCGGAATCTAGCACTGTGGGTGGGTGGGGGTACTTTTATCATTTTACAAAATTTTATATATTTGGGTGTTTAGTTAAATTAGCAAATCTAAGAAGTTTTTTTGTTAATTTTTAAATTTTATCTTGTAATAGTCACCCTACTCAACTCCCAATACTATTTTAAAAATTCTATCTAAAATAATAAATCTACCGGACGTAGATGATTTTGACATTAAATAATCCACTTCCATAAAACAAAGTACAAACCTATAGACTGTGATTTTAGGTTTCGAGACGACGACGTTTCATTTTTCTCCAATCCCATCAAAATTTACAATGAACAAAATCAGATCGACCCCCCACCTCATTCCCCCGTCTCGATCCCTCTGTTTCTTATGTTCCATTTCTCATAAACGACGCCACACATCGGTTCCTTTCTCCAATCTAAACCTTAATAGTTATCAGCTTCAAAGAAAAACAAACAAAATTGAATAAGGGAGTGATGGTTTCAGCTCCGAATTCTTTAACATTCTGTGCGAAAATCTCTCAATTCTTTTAATCGTCAAGCTGTTTGGTGACTGAGAAACGGTAGGAAAACGAAAAAACTAAACTTGAATAATAATTTCTTTCTTTTCTATTTTCTTTATTATATTTTATCTGATATGCATTTACATGTTTTATGATATAATTCTGATAGATCATCGTTGTTAATTGAATTTAGATCTCTCAGTTTATAGCTTTTCGTAACAAGTGGTCCAAATCATGAACCGTTAATTATTTTGATTGATTGGATCCTGGATTTTGTATATTGTTTATTGTTTGATGTGTTTGTTGAGTTCTCAGTTTTGTGCGTAAATGCAGAAAATTTTGTTATACGATGCGTTTTGATCAGTTGATTTGAGCTCTGGTCTTAGGCGTATAATTGAGAGATGGCTTGGTTCGGCGGGAAAGTTTCGCTGGGAGGCTTCCCGGATCTGGCCGGGGCGGTGAATAAGCTCAGCGAAAGCGTGAAGAATATTGAAAAGAATTTTGATACTGCGCTTGGGTTTGAGGAGAAGGCTGAGAAGTCTGAGTTCAGCAACAGCGAAGGTAGTTTATATTGCATTGTGAATTTCGTCCGTTGTTGCACTGTCAATTCGTGTGTCCATGAGAATCTTGTTTCTTTTGGGTTTACATGAAAACTCACAGTTATGATGATAGTTATAACGAAGACTGACATCTTTGTTAATATGCATTGATGATTAAGTTTTATTTTTCTTTTAATTTTGGCTAAAAAAGGATACTGGTGCAAAGTTATACAACTTCTATGTTATTAAATTTGTTTTTCAATTTTCATCTGACGGACTGGTTTAGTTTAAAGTTGTTTTTCAAGGAAATAGAAATGGCTGGTTTTGAACCGATTATGCATGTAATGTCCTTATCTATTTGTGTGTGAGCTTCAGGATTATGGCCTGTTATGTCCTTTATGGGACAGAGAAGTGAAGAAAGTACCAGTGAATCACCGGAAAAACCTGAATCTTTGGAGCAGCCATTGAGACCTGAAGAAAAAGAAGGGGTTGAGACTGAAAGGTTACTGCCTTCTACTACTGAGCAAACTTCTACTGAAGAAGAAAGGGATGCACTTAAGACAGTGGAAGATAATGAGCGTACAGTGACGGCTGAGAGGGTAGATATTGTTACATCAGACCTTGGTAAAGTTGAATCTGAATCACTAACAATGCCTGTTGGACCTCCTGACTCAACTATTCAAAATGTTGAGTCATCAGATTCTGTTGACAATTTGCAACAGAAAGAGACTTCGGGCATAGCACCTTCTGAAGAATCTGTGGAAGCCAACTCAGAACCTGTTGAAGCAGACCAAGCTAAGGGTGGTACTATTATTCTACCTGATGAATCAGACAATGTTGTTGATCCACATGAAAGCAAGGATGAGGAGAAGAAAGAAGAAAGCAAAGATGAAGAGAAGAAAGAAGAATGCAAGGATGAGGAGAAGAAAGAAGAAAGCAAGGATGAGGATAAGAAAGAAGAAAGCAAGGGTGGAGAGAAGACACAAGCAGAAGAGATTGTAGAGAAAAGTTTGCCAGTTGAGGCTGAGGCATCAAGTGCTGTCCAAGCTGAAGGGACCAAGCCTTCTGATTCCCATTCTGCCAGTGTTGAAGAGACTGATAGTGCTTGTGGATTATCTTTGCCCAGTTCCCCTCCTTCAGATGAAGCTCCTGAGATGGTTTCTGCATCAAATTCTCCTCAAAAAGGTGCAGAATTCAAAGCAGTTGAAGTGGATCAGCAAGCCAATGTTAATGAGATTGACACTAGAGAGCAACAGTTGAGCTCAGAAGTAAATGTGCCTGTCTCAGAAGAATCTGTTCTTGAACTTGGGAAGCTAAAGATGGAAATGAAAATGATGGAAACTGCATTGCAGGGTGCTGCAAGGCAAGCTCAGGTACTTAATGTGAACGATGTTATATTTTGTAAAAGATGTAAATGTTAAACAAGTCTTTCTTACTTTGAGAACTAGACACTTATTATCTCTATTTCAGACCAAGCACTGTAATGGTTGAAACTTGTTTAATTTTTTTCTTAAAACTAACTCTTGCTCAATAGTTTATTTTTTTTCCTTAAAAAAAAAAAAAAAAAACTGTAATGTTTTCAGGTCACTTTTATTGAAAATCTCTAATGTGATTTGTTTGATGTCTTTATCATTTTCTTGTGTTGGCATCATGAAAATTCAAATGCAAATTAATTGGGGATCTTATTCATACTTCCGTAATTTGTGATACACATCTCTTGCACATTCAGCACGGTATCCTTCCCTCCCTTGTATAACTCGGTAGTCATTTACATTTTGCATGTCAGTGCTTTTTGGTTTGTGTTTTCATCAGTTTTTCTCCTCTTCCTTGCATCATGCTAAACGGTTAGTACTGCATCATGCATGTATCTTTCATTTAATTTCAGCAGCTCATATAATGCTGTTCTTTTTTTAGGCAAAGGCAGATGAGATTGCCAAGATGATGAATGAAAATGAGCACCTAAAAGCTGTGATTGAGGACTTGAAGGTATTTAAGTGTGTTTATTTTTTCCCTTAAATTTTCATTATGATCTCATAGGTATGATGGTCATATTTCGATTCTTGACTTTTCTTTTTCCCAAATAAATAACCACTTATTTTCTTCTTTATCCATTTGCTCTTCATTGTATAGATTTTAAAATTAAAATATGTTAGATAATATTCTTGAAGATGCTTATCTCTCTTCCATATCCCAGCAAAAAATTTAAAAAAGAAATACATATTTAAATATCTTGAAGTTTTGGAACAGAGGAAATCAAATGACGCTGAAATTGAGACTTTACGAGAAGAATACCATCAAAGGGTTGGAACTCTTGAAAGGAGGGTATGTTTTTTGTTCCAAACAATTATTCTGTGTTTATGCTCATTTATCTGTAGATCTCAACCTTGTGATAGCTTAGTATTGTTGGCTGAAGCCTGAAACCTGTTTTGGTTTGGTTCTTAAATTCTTAGTGCTGGTTAAGTTAATTATCTTTTTCCTACAGGTACAATTCTTATGTAATAGTACATGGAGTTATCAATAGTAGATCATTTTATCATCTCTCTCTTAGCCAGTCAGCATAGTTTGTTGCTCTAGATGCTTTTGAAAATTTAAAATTTTCACCTCTGATGGAATATTTTGCTCCTAGTTTCATACATTATGTACATTGTTCAATTCCTTGAAAAAAGTCCATTTTCTTTTTCAGGTATCTAATACTCTTAGACTGAAGCTATGCTTTTCTTTTACTGAGCACTAACTGTGATGCATCTTATAATGCTTTCCTGTTTTATCTAACAAAATATATGGAAGCATAGTTTTTCAAAATTGTGAACAATTGTGGCATCAGTGTTATGTTTCTTTAAATTCTATGCCATATTTTTAGAAATTGGTTAAAATAAATATAAAGAACTAAGGGGAAAAAATCCAATTCTTATTTTTTATTACTAAGCTATATATTCTGAAGATTTAACTGTAATATTAGATTGTTTGTTACTATATATCAGACATTGCATTATGTTATGATCTAAATTGTGAGTTTTTGAACCATTTCCTTAAACTAGAAAAAGAAACTGGTTAAAAAAGAGAAGGTGCATATAAAAGTACTTGAGGTACAATACTATGGTAATGAGGCTGTTGTAACACATTTAGAATGAGCATAAAACTGGTTTTAAAAGATTAGTGCATTTCATTATGTGGTTGCATTTGATGTCAGTTGAATGCACTTAAGATGTTTTCTGGAAGAACATTATAATTTTTTGTTGACTGCCTTTGCAGGACAGTTGAGTATGCTTGTTTATCTGAAATTCATTTTTGGTCAATAATTGCAGGTTTATGCTCTTACTAAGGAAAGGGACACACTTCGGAGAGAGCAGAACAAAAAAAGTGATGCAGCTGCTCTTTTGAAGGAAAAAGATGAAATAATTAATCAAGTTATGGCTGAAGGTAGAGCCTCAGAAACTTTGACATAAAGTGCCTTAAAAAAGTGTTCATATATATATTTTTTAAAATATGCATTTAAGAATGTTGAAAGTCTATATTTAATATGTAAATAGGCCCTTTCTTAGCGTTTGTCTATCATTTCAGGTGAAGAACTTTCAAAAAAGCAGGCTGCTCAAGAAGCTCAGATTAGGAAATTAAGGGCCCAGGTACATAAGCAGTGTAACTGACCTAATTTTTTTTTCCAAAGAGCACTTTCTCATGCATGTTCTAACTAAAGAACTTAACTTCTTTTATTCTTATTTTCATGAGAGCTAGATTAGAGAGCTTGAAGAAGAGAAGAAAGGTTTGGCTACCAAGCTTCAGGTAATTGAAGTCTCAAAGTAGTCTTACCAATTGTGAGTTAGTGGGTTAATTTTTCTAAGCACTTGTTTCCTTCAGTTTCCATGTGAGAATGGGTTTTGTCTACATGGTATTGTTGTTGGAAAAAATGGTAGCCCTTTCAATATAGCAGTGGCAGGACACTTACGATAATTGCCGAAAATAATACTTTAACATTTAATTTACTAATGTATTTCTGTTTTAATATCCACATTTTTCCTGGCCATAGTTTTGGTGTGCACCACAATCTCTTGTTAAAGGTATGCAGTTTATCTCTCCTTTTTCTAGGTTGAAGAGAACAAAGTAGAGAGCATAAAAAAGGATAAGACAGCGACAGAGAAGTTGCTGCAAGAAACAATAGAGAAACACCAAGTAGAACTTGCAACACAAAAACAATACTACACAAATGCTTTGAATGCAGCCAAGGAGGCTGAAGAATTAGCAGAGGCACGTGCCAACAATGAAGCTAGAACTGAATTAGAGAGCCGTCTTAGAGAGGCTGAGGAACGTGAAGCTATGCTTGTTCAGGCACTTGAAGAATTAAGACAAACATTAAGTAGAAAGGAGCAACAGGTTTGTACTTGATTCATTGACATTAATGGTTTGATCCAGCTGACTTTTAAAATGATGATTTAGTTTATGTGTTCACTTTCTGATTTTGCAGGCAGTTTTTAGGGAAGACATGCTTCGCAGGGACATTGAAGATCTTCAAAAACGTTATCAGGTATATTAACTTCCCTACATAGTCTTATTCATTTATTCCCATTTTTAGATGTTGTCAACAATTTTTTACATTTTATGTTATGCCACCTCTTTTTCTAGGCTAGTGAACGCCGGTGTGAGGAGTTGATCACACAAGTTCCTGAATCAACAAGGCCTCTTTTAAGGCAGATAGAAGCCATACAGGTGAGAGGTGTATCCTTCTTGCATCATGAGGATTTGGGTGCACTTTGAGTGATAATCCTTCCATTTACACCTGGTTTTTCTATATTATGAGTATTTGCTGAATTGTTTATAGGAAACAACTGCAAGAAGAGCAGAAGCTTGGGCTGCTGTTGAGAGGTCCCTTAACTCGCGGCTACAGGTGTGTTGATCTATGTTGCTATAGATTATATGGTGAATGAGACTTGTGTACCCTAACTCTTGTTCATGTAATTTTAATCCCTAGGAAGCTGAGGCCAAAGCTGCAGCTGCAGAAGAAAGAGAGCGATCTGTCAATGAACGCTTATCACAAACCTTATCCAGAATAAATGTTCTTGAAGCTCAGGTTTATATCTTTTGTTGTGATTACATTTGTTGTTAATGGAGATCCTTCTATGATTAGTAACTTACACCTGCACTGTGTTCCAGATTTCTTGCCTCAGAGCTGAACAGACCCAGTTAAGTAAGTCCCTTGAAAAGGAGAGACAAAGAGCTGCCGAGAATAGGCAGGAGTACCTTGCAGCGAAGGAGGAAGCTGACACTCAAGCAGGCCGTGCAAGCCAGCTTGAAGAAGAAATTAAAGAACTCAGGCGGAAACATAAGCAAGAGTTACAAGATGCACTTATGCACAGGGAACTTTTGCAGCAGGTGCTGCTTTCGACTCTTCTTAAACTTCTCCATTAATCTTATTTTTACATTAGATTTTAGTCTCAGTAGTGTTGCAAAGCAATATGGCTACTAAAAACATCTGAAGTAAACATTAAATCGACACAAAGGGCAGATGTTGGATTATTCTTTATAGGATTGAGAGTTCTGTTTGTGTTTCTTTGATGATTGAAATTTCTTGATTGAAACATGATCTTTTGAATCTCAAAGCAAGAAGGACCCTTAGAGGTGACAGTGCTGCAGAAATTACTGTAACCTGGATTTATATAATTTATATTGAAACCTTCAAAAACTGTGGGTACATTGTTATATAATTTTTGGAGTTTCATCTACAAGTCTGAAATAGAAAACCCTCCATGTGTTTAATTACTGGTACTCACTGCTACAAGAAATCTACTAATGCAATCTCTCGGGACTTTGACAGGAAATAGACAGGGAGAAGGCTGCTCGGTTAGACTTGGAAAGGAGAGCATCTGCTCACTCCACTGCTGTACCTGATCAAACTCCCTTATCAAGGCACAATTCTGCTTTTGAGAATGGTATGACGATTTTGCTTCAACAGTCATCTTTTAAAATTTTTGTATCTTTGCTATATGACTTTTTCTTTTGTTTTTTCTCCTTTTGCAGGAAGCTTGTCTCGGAAACTGTCAAGTGCTAGCAGCCTAGGCAGCATGGAAGAAAGTCATTTTCTGCAAGCTTCTTTGGACTCATCTGATAGTTTATCTGAAAAGAGAAATCCTATAGAAGCAACAATGAACCCATACTTTATGAAGAGCATGACACCTAGTGCTTTTGAATCTAGTCTTCGTCAGAAAGAGGGGGAACTTGCATCATATATGTCTCGTTTGGTATGTATGTTTTAAACTCTCGTGTAACTTATATTTAGTGTTACAGGTTTCGTGAGCTGCACCACACTGGAAATTATAGTATTATAGTTCTATGGAACCGTGTCACCTTCGGACTAATATTGCATATTGCTGGAATGCTATAATATTACTCCTTTCTCGATATGGCTTTGATTGACCTTTGTTTATAATTAATGTCAGGCATCAATGGAGTCTATTCGGGACTCTCTTGCTGAAGAGTTGGTCAAAATGACTGGACAGGTGAGTTTTCTATTGATTTTCATTTTAAGGTTCACTATTCAGTTTCTTTCTGTTATGATCACTTAATATTCTCAAATCATTAAGTTCAGAATTCTTTGTTGCTCAGTGTGAAAAGTTGCGAGCAGAAGCTGCCATGTTACCTGGCATACGGGCAGAACTAGATGCACTAAGACGGAGGCACGCTGCTGCACTGGAGCTAATGGGTGAGCGTGATGAGGAGGTAAGAATCATTTTGGAGTTTGCACTTCTGTATTTCTTCTTAAATGGAGAACATAGTATCGAAGCATTTTCAACTTTTTATGTATCATGTTCTTACGTCCAATGTTGTTGCATATGTATAGCTGGAGGAACTCCGTGCCGATATTATAGACTTGAAAGAAATGTACAGAGAGCAAGTAAACTTGCTTGTGAATAAGGTAATCTCGCTGTTTTTATTTATAATATCTTCGATATCTCAATGGTTTTCAACGCCATCATGCACTTATACCTGCCTGCATTTGTTGTTGACAGATCCAAGTAATGAGCTCATCAATGGGTAACGCCTGAAAAATCAAACTCAAGTTTACAGTATTTTCATACAAGATTTTTGATTGATGTTCTCAATATAGTTTCATAGTCTACTCAGTAAGTAAATGCAATTCGTGATTGTTCAAAAATTCCCATTTCCCCTTTCCATATTCATTCACATTCAAGGTGTGTCTTATGTGCAATTTTTTACCAGCAGATATTATTCAGAGAACACGCCTTGACAAAACTCTGTATTGTATTTTAGAGGAATTTGATGTATAGCTGAATGTTAACGTTGTGTTTCCTTTTATAGCTTTCTGATTGATTTGATCTTCATAAATAATAGTGGATCTTTTATTTTTCTCCTCGTTTGTTGATTTGCAAAAAATATAAAGTTTTGGTAGATATCATTGGCCTTATATTATGTTTGAAACAGTGTTTTAAGACCCGGCCCGACTTAGCCGGTTGAACTGGTTCAATCGAGACTCGGGGTCTTAACCGGATCACGTTAGAAATTTTCCTATTCATTCAAAACCCTAGAAATTAGGACATCAATCTATGAATAATTGAAGGTTGGAATATTAGGGCTTTTGAAGAGGAATGGTCGGTGAGTGGAATGGTGGCGACGAAGGTGATTTCCGGTGAATGAATCGACCGGAAATCGTAAAACTAAGTTGTTAGAAAAAAGCTTCTTGTTGTCGGCGATTGGGGAGGCGAACATGGGAGGGGTGAGATGGGTTTTGGTCAGGAGGCTGAGGAGAGTGTTTTCGTGGTGATGGGGATTGTTGTCGTCGTTGAAAACATGCTCTATTTGTCGCCGTCAACAGAGGTGTTTGGGTGTTTTTGTAAGATTTCAAACTTATTGAGACTTATAGAAATTTTAGGGTATTTTTGTTGGATTCAATCCTTTTGACACTAGGTTGACCCGCTAATCAAACCGATCAACCCAGGATCCGATCATTTTAATGGGTTTAACATCGGGTTGAGTTTTAAAACACTGGTTTAAAATAAATACAAGAATATATGAATTTTGTTTCAAATATTTGGGAGAAGTTGATCCTCTTCGTCAATTCATTTCATTCTTAATAAAGTATAAGATGTCATATTGCGAAAAAGACTTTGTTATATCAATGCATTTGAAATTGCATTTAAATTGTGCATTTCATAGGTACATTATTATTCAAATTACGTTGACTTTTAATCATCCAAAAGTGTCTTGATTCAACACCAATAAATATTAAATAGTTCAGTAATTACCGTAAGGTTGCTGTTACATAGAGCAAAAATTGGATCTAGGGTATTGGGTCCAATACATTTAATGGTGATTGGTGACTGCCTGACTGTTGAGTCGATTCAGAGGCCCACCAAGATGAACAAACTTTTACCAAACATTTCAAACCTTTCGAATATTGGTTATGGGAATTTTCTGGATCTCTCTAGAAGGGAAAATTGTGAAATTCTATTTTATTTTAATAAAGTTTGTTTAATATTTATAAATTATTTTTAAACTGTCATTGTTTTCTAAATAGAGTTAATGGTATTAATTCTCCTACAATATAATATAATAATAAAAATTTACGTTTTTAAAATAACAAAAATCTCCCTACGACTGACGATTAGTGAATTGTTAATGAATCGTTAATAATAATTCAATAACAAACAATAATGTTTTTCTAATATAAAATTACGTTTTATTAATAAATAAAAAAATATGTAAATTAATCATCACAATGTTGAATTCACACTTAAAGTGGGACTGTACCAAAAAAAAATTTCTATTTTATTTTAGAATCAACCCAAGTACAAATTTCGGGTTAAATCTGAAACAATCCAGTTCAGTAGATCTCAAAATGAATTCAACCCGATCCNCCAAACATTTCAAACCTTTCGAATATTGGTTATGGGAATTTTCTGGATCTCTCTAGAAGGGAAAATTGTGAAATTCTGTTTTATTTTAATAAAGTTTGTTTAATATTTATAAATTATTTTTAAACTGTCATTGTTTTCTAAATAGAGTTAATGGTATTAATTCTCCTACAATATAATATAATAATAAAAATATCCGTTTTTAAAATAACAAAAATCTCCCTACGACTGACGATTAGTGAATTGTTAATGAATCGTTAATAATAATTCAATAACAAACAATAATGTTTTTCTAATATAAAATTACGTTTTATTAATAAATAAAAAAATATGAAAATTAATCATCACAATGTTGAATTCACACTTAAAGTGGGACTGTACCAAAAAAAAATTTCTATTTTATTTTAGAATCAACCCAAGTACAAATTTCGGGTTAAATCTGAAACAATCCAGTTCAGTAGATCTCAAAATGAATTCAACCCGATCCAAATCACCAACCTCGATTAATTTCAGCCGTTAAAATATTCCGCGTGTCATTTCTCTATTACTCCGACAACAACAATCACGTGTCCGACAAATCACCTGATCCTGCTCCCAAGGAGCTCCAGGTGTTCATCTCCTAGCTCTCGACGCTTTGCTTCTCTTCTAAAATACCAGTAACCAAAAGGGCAAAAAAAATACAAATACAGCTCTCAACACCAGATGCGCACGTTAGCATTGACCGTAGTTAAACGGTTTCGAAATCCTCGCGTAGGTGTGCTTGTCCTCAGTTAAAAGCTTGGCAATCCTCAGTTAAAAGCTTGGCAATGACATACGAACGAAAAAGGTGACTTCTCACCACTGGCGAATTTTAGCCTCCTCTCTCATTTCTTTAAGTGGATCACTCTCTGCTTGTTGCACATTTTCGATTTCTCTCTCTCGCTGATGATCCTCTGAAACGGTAGCGTATCAAAACCTCAGTTGAAACCAATGCGTTAGTGTTGTGGTAGTAAGTTTCGTTGTTCACTGTGCTGAGAAACAAAAATGGTGAGTGAAATTGTGTCGTTTTTTTTAAGCTCAATTTTTTAGTTTGTTGTCGATCCAGAACCGCTGCCGTTCTGAAGCTGAACTAGTAAAAAAAAAAAATTTTAATTTAAGTTTATGAATTTTATGCATGTTTTGATCTTTTTGGACGTAGATGTGTTGTGAAACGAAATGGTGAGTCTCTGTTTGTTGCTGATCCAGTAAAAAGATGCCGTGCAGAAGTTCAATTTTCTGAGATCTTTTTATTTATTTTTTATTCAACAATGGCAAATAAGTTAATTTTGATTTAATTATGATTTTACTTTTAATAGGTTTGTTTTACAGTTAAATGGTTGTTGATTTAGAGCTTAAATCAGTGTTTGTATGTTATTTATCTGTTTTAATATGTGATTTTTATATTGTAGTTGGATATAAATATATCATTTTAGTGGAAAAATTTTATTCAAGACTTGGAGGTCTATTTGTATGAGATCTAATATAAAGTATGATAAATTCTTCAGTGGCTAATTTTTGCACTCTTATTTGTCAATGTAGTATTACTTTTTGGTGCTTTAGTTATTGGTAATTTTGGATCTAGAAATTAATTTGTATTTAGGTTTTCTTAAGGATTTGATCTTGTGGTTATTGCAGTTGGCTTCTGACTTTTTTATATCTTCAAAAGATAATTCAATTGGAAACAATATGCGTGGGCGTCACGGGGACGCATCTTGGATGTATAAGCGTGCATCCTCGAAGGACCATATTGATGACAATGAGAAAGACGAAAGCTCAAGTAATCATAAGTTGTATAATAATCAATTTTGTTGTTGGGTTAAGTTGAACTTTTTCACTGTTATTGAATTCTGTTATGTGAGTTGTGATTGAATCTGCATGATTGAGCTTATCTCATGCATTCCAAGTAGTTGGGGATTTCAATTGACTAGAAATATGCTAATATAGGTTTTATAAATGAGCCATGAAAAGAAATATTCAGGAATATTATTTTTCCTTGATGTGTCAGTGCAACTTGTCCTTTCTCTTCAATAAGATAATGTCCTAATACTGGGTACGGGAATAAGTTAATGACAATAAATGTCAAGTTGTATATTTTCTTTTTCTTTTCTGTTTTATATGTGCTTGTATTGTGTGTCTATGAATAATAAAGCAATGTACACAATTACTTCACTTCTGTTATATTTAACGAGAAACTTTTCTCTGCCATTGTGATACAACCTGATAACAATTGAAGCACAAAACTGGGGAGTCTCTTGCTCCATCAGTTGGGATTGGGAGAGCACACAATTCAGTGGCAGAAACAGCATTTGCTTAATTTATAAAACCTAAATACAAATTTAACTTTTCCTTGTTCATTTATGCAAAGTAGATTATCTGATTTTTTTTTTTACTTCTAGGTGCAAATGGTTTTTATTTTTATGAACAATAACTGAGATCTGAGAATTAAAATGATTTTTTATGTAGTACGGATGCCCAATGGTTTGGGCGGTATAGGAAACCCTTCTTGGAGCCGGTGTTTGCCACATATACTTGTGGCAATTATTTCTTCATTATTATTTGGCTACCACCTCGGGTGTGTCCCTCTGAAATTCAATAGTTCTTTTCTGTTCTCCAATTAATTTGTATGAAAAAAAGGAAATAATCTCGTTTGCATTTGTTAATGCAGAGTAGTTAATGAGACGTTAGAAAGCATCTCTATAGACCTTGGCTTTAGTGGGAATACCATGGCTGAAGGTATTCTGTTTGGTTGTCCATTTGTTTTACTCTCTTTTTGGTAAGTTCTTCTAACATTTTGATTTATGTCAATGAAGGTCTGGTGGTTAGCACATGTTTAGGGGGTGCGCTTGTAGGATCTATGTTCAGTGGTTGGATTGCAGACGGGGTTGGACGCCGCAGGGCTTTCCAGCTATGTGCTTTACCCATGATAATTGGGGCTTCAATGAGGTTACTGCTGTGTACAACATATTAGTTTTAATACCTTCTAGAATTTTGACCACCTTTCAGGCTTTTTGTCAATGTGTGTTCTCTTTGTAAATATCCTAAATGCTGCTTGTTTAAGTTGAGAAGATGAACATTTGTATAAAAAAATTTGTTTTATTTCCAAACCAGGGATTTTTATCATTTTTCAACCACATCATTCCCAGTGATTTCTTCAGAGCTTCTTGGGATTAAGATGCAAACCTTAACCCATTATTATAGTATGTCAGTGAAAATTTGCCGTCACTTTTATTTTATTTTTGGTAGTTCACCCTTCTCTTTAAGTAAAATTTGGGGTTCATTTATGCTCAATGTGAGTTTGTGTTTGCTAGAGCTAGAGCACTTAATTTGCCTTTTTTCATCTGGTTATAGGGGCTGAAATCTCTGTACTTCATTCTCACTTTTTTATTTATATTCAATAAAGAAAACTAAGATGACATGGAGAACCAACAAAAGGTTTTGCTTCTTTATACATCTTGCTTGAAGTCTTCTAGCTTTATATCCTGAAAACTTCTTGACAATGTGTGCCCTTTTATATGTGACTGAGAGATCAATGTGCTTTCTTTGTGCGATAGTCTGAAACCGTATAAAGCTTATAGTAGCATTCAACTACAATCTTGCAGTGCTATAGCGAAGAATCTCTGGGTTATGCTTCTGGGAAGGTTGTTTGTTGGAACTGGAATGGGTATTGGTCCCCCTGTTGCAGCTCTCTATGTGGCAGAGGTATGAGAGATGATTGTTTTACAAATTTTCCTTGATTGCCAATCAGCATTACTTTGTGTACTGTAGTTGTATTTTTCTCTTCCATGGGAATTGATCATGCTTTATTTTCAAGTAGGTTTCTCCATCTTATGTAAGGGGTGCTTTTGGGAGCTCCACACAGATAGCAGCATGTCTTGGAATTCTGGGGGCACTATTTATTGGACTCCCTGCCAAGGAAGTCGTTGGTTGGTAAGAATCAGATGAAGCTGTGGTAGTTTCCAAAATAGATGATTGACTAAATAGTTGTTTCCATCTGTTTATAGGCTTATTTGATAGATCTTTTCTGTATGGTCTGAGAATAAATAAATTTTACTTGCTTTTTAAGTGCTCAAATGGTGCACTTGTGAATTATATCCTGTATTAACTTGATGATGTGCTCAGGTGGCGCATTTGTTTTTGGGTATCTACTATTCCTGCTGCTTTACTTGCTCTTTCTATGGAGTTTTGTGCAGAAAGTCCTCATTGGCTTTTCAAGGTCATCTGCTCCCTTTTTTGTATTGTTGATGTCCTTAACAATATGTCTAATTTGGTTGTTTTGTTTGGATTTTGTACTTTTTGTAGTTAGATTTTAGGCATCAGTTGTGCTTAATGGTGTTCTAGTAAATTTGAGTGGAAGTAGATCTGAAGTGTATTAATGCATTTTATTATTGTAAACAGTATATTTCATCAATATAAATGAACGCAGATCCATGTTAGATCAGAACAGTAGTCAAATTTTATGATATATAACCCTTTTGGTTGGGTTTGGGATGATTTGTGATGAGACCAACAACATATTAGTGTATGGGAGGAAAAGCAAAGGTGTGAAAAAGGGATGAGGGACGAATTGTCTGGCTGTATGCGTGAGTGTGTGGGTGATACTAGGTTTATGAGAGAGTGACAAGTGGCAAGTGATGATTGATGGGGAACTGAATTCGGTTATGGTAAGAGAGTATGAAGAATAAAAGGAAATGCCAGAGATCTGTCTAGGATCGTTCAAAAATAGTAAAAAGGGAAAAGGGTTGGGGAGTTGCTGGCCCTCGAAGTCCAGTGGGTTTCTTTCTTCTTAGCAAAGTTATTTCTAAATGGTTTGGTTTATGTTTATCTTCTGTTATGCTGAATTGTAGTTGTAGATGAACTGTTATTGGAGTAGTGTTGTTACAGAGTTGCTATTCTATATATAAATTGAAGCTATTCAGTATTGCTTTGTGTTCTTTTATTGTTTTGGTGTGATTGAACTGTTCTGGTGTGACTGGAATTTCTGGTTTGTTGACTGTTGAAGCTTCAGAGTGTTCTGGGTTGTTTGTGAGTGATCATTTGCAGGTGAAGTTTGGGGTTTCTAACAATTTGCAATAGAGAAGAACAGAAACTGTTATCATTTGAATCAAGCTTATGACAGGCATCATATTGCAGTGGCTGTACTCTGACCTGAATTACAATTTACTGTTAGTTGGTGCAATGGGAGTTTAGGAATAATGAATTGCACAGCCAACCATTGCTAATGCTACAAATAATTAAATAAGGTTTTGTTGTTAAATGACAGTTTGAGTACTATCATTTTCTTGGTATGCAGTGGTGTTGCCAAAAAGCAGCCTTGCCTTTTAAGTGTTCTACATTATTCTGGTCTTTTTCTTTGGATTCTTGAATTATTTTTGTTATTTTGACTTGCTTTCTGAATTGTTCTTACTTCTCCAAAAATGCATGGCTTTACTTCTCTACATACAAGCAACTGTTACATGGTCCAGTTTTAGATACTGCTGATAAGTTACAACTTGACACTTCCAATATATTTGCGTCTTTTGTTTTTTCATTTGTTCGACTTTGGTTCACTTAAGTATTGACTATTGATTAGACACTTAATTCTTTTTCTTTCCTGGACTGCTTCAGAAGGGAAGAGGGGCTGAAGCTGAGGCTGAATTTGAGAAGCTTTTAGGAGGATTACATGTAAAGCACTCTATGGCTGAACTTTCAAAGTCAGATAGAGGGGATGAGGCAGAAGTGGTGAAGTTGTCAGAGTTGATCTTTGGCCGCCATTTTCAAGGTAAACATGAATATGTTTCAAGTTACATGAGCATCCAAGTCAGTTCTATATGTTTCCTTCTAAAAGATTACTTTTAACTTCTCCATTTGCAGTGGTTTTCATTGGGTCTGCCCTTTTTGCTTTACAACAGCTATCCGGCATAAATGCTGTATTCTACTTCTCGTCAACTGTCTTTAAAAACGCTGGTGTACCTTCAGACTTCGCAAACATTTGTGTGGGAATTGCAAATTTATCAGGTAAAATATTGATTTACTCCCAGAGGGTTTACCTTTAAAATAGATGATTGTTTATTTTGATCAAATTGTTTATGCTGTGTTAGGGTCAATTATTGCGACGATTTTGATGGATAAGCTTGGAAGAAGGGTTCTTCTACTAGGAAGTTTTTTGGGCATGGTAAGGGAAATGTTTGAAAACAGATTAAATTTCTGAAAATTTCTCAGTTACAATCTAATTTAACCTAACATAATGGTACTGCACCATTTATTGATTCCCTAAATATACATGTATCTATAAGTAGTGTCTTTTGATTATATATTGGATTATTTACTTCAGACTATGATGCTTGACTGGCAGTGATTTGTAGCTGTGAAATTAGACTTTGTTGAAGGTATAAGGTCAATACTAGAGTAGGGGTATCCTAAATAGGGTTGATCAATTTGTCATTTCTGCATTTGTGTTTTCAAGTGTGGTGTCAGTAATTTATCATGTCTACTATTTAGTGCATCCACACTTTAAATCTTGCATCATGTAGACTATGAACAATTAATCTATTATTTGCTTAATGCATTTTGTTGGTTCAGGCCGTAGCTATGGGTCTTCAAGTAATTGCGGCAACTTCTCTTGTTTCAAGCTCTGGAGCATTGTATCTATCTCTTGGAGGCATGCTAATGTAAGTTGTAAATCCCTGTCTACGCGGAAGTCAAAAGAAAAAATGAACGTTGTACCCTTTTTTGTTTTTGAAATGTCCCATTCTACATTGTACCCTTTTTTGTTTTTGAAATGTCCCATTCAGTCACCACAGGATGGCGTAAGTTCAAGAATTGATGTTTTGGAATTAGACACTGGAGAAATTTCTATATTATGGCATGAGTAAATGTGTATTTTGAGTGATTATGATATTAAAATGGATCACAAACTTGATGGGTTAGAAATATCCATGTTAAACTCAATTGGACCATATGTACCTAGAATGATATATAGCATGCCTATGTGATGTAATTGCTCAAAGATTGTTAAGGGAAACACATTACGTTTAAATAAATGTTAATCTCTGATGTAATGACATGCTTTTTCTAAATGACTTGATAATGCAGGTTTGTCTTGACATTTTCCCTGGGTGCTGGTCCTGTTCCTACTCTTCTCCTATCAGAAATATTTCCCAGTCGAATCAGAGCAAAGGCGATGGCAGTTTGCATGGCTGTGCATTGGGTAATTGTTTGTTGATTTTAAATTGACCAATTTAATTTGCTTAAGGAGAAAACCAAACAGTTGAGTCTTAGTTAATCTGAGATGGTTAGGTGCCTTACATTGGATGTTAAATCCTCATATATTTGGGGAAATACATTATTTATCTCGCTGACAGCATCTTTTTAACAGGTGATAAATTTTTTTGTCGGCCTGTTCTTTTTGCGCTTACTGAAGCAACTGGGGCCGCTAATCCTCTATACAATATTTGGTTTCTTTTGCTTAGTAGCTGTTATTTTTGTCAAGAAGAACGTGATGGAAACAAAAGGAAAATCACTCCAAGAAATTGAGATTGCACTTCTACCTCCGGAATAGAGAAAGGTATGCCATTTTCTTGTTGTTCGCTGAACCACATCATCTCCACTAATTATAGGGTCAACATTTGTTTTTCAAGAAACCGTAACTTTGTATCAAGCAAAAAGACGAGTATATTTCTAGGATGACAAACTTTATAAAGACAAGGGAAGTATTTACACAGATTAATCTATTATCTATTTGTCCTCTCGATGTCAATTGGATTCAATGTCCTCTTTGTGAGGATTTCTTCTCATTATATAGGCACAAATGTGCAATATACGAGGCTAGAATCAAGCCTAAATTACAGCAGAAATATCTACCTAAATTACAACTATTAAATCTGTCTATATCAAAACTGTCTATATACAAATTCTGACTAAATAAGGAAGTATATATGTACAACTGGTGAGAACTAATCAAGGAAAATGGATCGTATCATGGTGGCACCCCCCTTCAAATTGATGTTGGTCAGTTAAGAAGCATCAATTTGCCCACAAGAAACTGATGACATTGTCGTGTCATGGCCTTCGTAAACACATCTGCAATCTGGAGGTCAGTAGAAATATGAGGAAGAGAAATGATAGGAGTGGCCAATACTTCCTGAATGGAATGACAGTCCACCTCAATGTGTTTGGTACGCTCATGAAAGATGGGATTGGCAACAATCTGAATGGCACTAGTGTTGTCAGCATGTAAAGGAGTAGGATCGGATTGAACACAATCAATCTTAGCAAGGAGGCCACAAAGTCAAAGAATCTCAGAACAAGTAGCAGACATTGCACGGTATTCAGATTCAGTGGAAGATTTGGACACGCGATCTTGTTTCTTACTCTTCCAAGATATCAAAGAGTCACCAAGAAACATGCACCAACCTGTAATATATCGTTGCGTATCAGGACATCCTGCCCAATCTGCATCACTATAAGCCACAAGTTGAAGAGGAGTCCCAGTAGGAAAGAATAGGCCACGACTAGGAGAACCTCGAAGATATCGAATGATACGACGAATGGCAGCTAAGTGTAGATGACGTGGAGCCTGCATGAACTGACTAATCTACTGTATTGCAAAGGAAATATCAGGACGAGTAATGGTTAAGTAGTCAAGCTCCCCACTAACTATCGATACATAGTAGGGTCGAAAGGGAGATCACCCTCTTCCCGGCGATACTTTGTGTTTACTTCCATAGGAGTATCCACAGAAGAAGTATCTTGAAGACTAGCCAATGCAATCAGATCCTGAGTATATTTATGCTGATTCAAAAAAATGCCAGAGGAATCAGTATGAACTTCCAAGCCTAAGAAGTATGTAAGAGAACCAAGGTCCTTCATATGAAATGAGACTTGAAGATGTTGTTGTAGTCGAGTGATCAAGCTAAAGTCCGTGCCAATAATAACAATATCATCAACATAAACCAAAAAAAAGACAATGCCAAGAGATGTCTTGCAGAAAAATAAAGAAGAATCATATGCACTATGCTGAAATGAAAATTGGAGCAAAGTGGATGTCTGTAAGTTGAAACGATCATTGTATGAGCTGAAACAAGCTCCCCGGGCCTGGTTTGAATTCAAAAAAATGCCAGAGGAATCAGTATGAACTTCCAAGCCTAAGAAGGATGTAAGAGAACCAAGGTCCTTCATATGAAATGAGGCTTGAAGATGTTGTTGTAGTCGAGTGATCAAGCTAGAGTCCGTGCTAATAATAACAATATCATCAACATAAACCGAAAAGAAGACAATGCCAAGAGATGTCTTGCAGAAAAATAAAGAAGAATCATATGCACTATGCTGAAATGAAAATTGGAGCAAAGTGGAGCGGAATTTATCAAATCAGGTCTAGGGAGCTTGTTTTAGCCCATATAATGATCGTTTCAACTTACAGACATCCGAGGAAGAAGAGGATGACAAACCAGGTGGAATGGTCATGTATATCTCTTCTTTGAGATCACCATGAAGAAATGCATTTTTGACATCCATCTGATGAAGGGACTAACCTTGGGATGCAGCAACAGACAAGACAGTCTGTACCGTGGTCATTTTGGCAATTGGAGCAAAAGTCTCCTCATAGTCCACCCCATATTCTTGTCTACTGCCAAGTGCAACCAACCGGGCCTTATACCGATCCAAAGTTCCATCAGAACGCAGCTTGATAGAATAGACCCATTTGCAACCAGTAGCTTTTACCCGAGGAGGACAAGGGACAACATCCCATGTATGATTATCCTGAAGAGCCTGAAGTTCCGCGGCCATCGCCACACGCCAACAGTCATGTTTAGCTACCTTAGAATAACCTGATGGACTGGGAATAGTAGACAGAGTAACATGGAGAGAGGTATGAGAAAAACCATACCGGTCTATCGGACGAGACACTCTGGTCGAGCAGCGAGGAACTAGGGTAGTATCCGGATCACCCGTAGAGGATTTAGTCTGAACAGGCTCAAATGGCGAACCAGGCTCAGGAAGGTGCAAAATAGGTTGTCGTCTTTCATATATAAGGCCAGATTTGAATCAGTCAATAGAAGAAGTCAAGTCATCAAAATGAGGCAAAACATATATCTCAGGCAAAGACTTATCATGAGAAGGAAAAAATGACTGATTTTCAAAGAACAGAACATGACGGGAAATGCGAAGTCGGTTAGAGCATGGATCATAGCAAACATAGCCTTTATGTGAAGTACTATAACCCATAAATGCACATCTAATAGATTGAGCAGATAACTTATGTCATTCATGAGAAGACAAATGAACAAAACAAACACAACCAAAAGTATGCATGTTAAGGTATCTAGGATGCTGATGATAAAGACGAAAGTAAGGAGTTTCATAATTCAAGACACTGGATGGCAATCTATTAATTAAATAAACAGCCGTAGATAAAGCTTCAACCCAGAATTTAGGAGGAACGGATGATTGAAGCAATAAAGTATGAACAACATCCAACAAATGTCTATTTTTACGTTCAGCAACACCATTTTGCTGAGATGTATATGGACAAGAACGCTGAGAAACAATGCCTTTTTGTTTGAGAAAATCATGAAACTCACGAGACATGTATTCACCCCCTGAATCAAACCTCATAATTTTAATGCTAGAAGAAAATTGAGTCTCGACATAGGCAGTGAATTGTTGGAAAATAGATAAGACCTTAGATTTAGCACAGAGAAAATAGATCCAGGTATACTTTGTATAATCATCGATGAATGTAACAAAGTATTTATAATTTGCATGTGAGATAACAGGAGAAATTCCCCACACATCACTATGAATTAAATCAAAACAACGTTCAGCATGACTACCATGAGAAGGAAAAGAAAGAGACTTACTTTTGCCTAATTTGCATGTGGAACAATCAAAAGAGAGAGGAAAAGAAAATTGATCTTTATTGCCTAACAAACCAGAATTTATTATATGAGATAAAATAGTAGAATTAGGATGACCCAACCGTTTGTGCTATACTTCACACTTATTGTTCACAGCGTTACAAGCAAATGACATAATAGCAAGAATGGAAAAATGCATAGGAAATAAACGTCCAACTTTAGGCCCCTTCGCAAGAATCTTGCCCGACACCTGATCTTGCACAAGAAACCATCACGAGAAAAACGAACATCACAGTTATTATCAACCAATTGCTCGATTGAAATAAGACTGGTAGAAAGCTGAGGAGATACAAAAACATCTTTAATAGTGGAATCAACATCCCCAATAGCATGAATAGGTAACTGACAACCGTTAGCAATATGAATATGTGTCGATCTAATATAAGTTTGAACATTGCTAAGAGTATCAGAAGAACTAGTCATCTGATTAGATGCACCCAAATCAATAATCCATGTGGGAGAAAGCGAACCATTACCTTGCAGTCCTAAGGTTGAAAATGCGAAAATAATCACCTGTTGTAGCTTCTCAGTAGTAAGAGCAAAGGAATCACTAGTAGTAGCAGAAGAAGCGGAAACCACAGTAGACTGATAAGCATTGGCTTGACGATTCTGGGGACGAGTAGGACACTCCTTGATAATATGCCCCAGCTTCTTACAGTAGTTGTAAGATTTCCGTGTACAGTTGGTAGCAATATGCCTGTATTCCTTGCAATTGAAGCATTGAACTTTCCTCATGTCTTGTCCCTTGCCTTTTCCTTAAGCAGCATAAGCCATTGCATTGGATATCATTTTGTCATGCTGATAAGTGGCCTGGGTGGTAAGTCGTTGCTCCTCACGAAGTAACTCCCCAAAACAGACATCCAAAGATGGCATGGGATTGCAATTCATCAAATTAGAGCGAGTGGCTTCAAATTCAGGTTGTAACTTCATTAAAAATTGATCTCGCTTGCTTTGCGCATGAATTTCCTACACAACTGAGAGAGATTCTTCTGGTACTTTGGCATAAATAATGTCAGTAAATTCTGCCCAAATATTATTAAATCCAGAAAAATAATCCTGAATGGAGAGATCTCCCTGAGTATAACTGGCAATCTCGTACTCTAATTGAGAACGTCGAGCAATATTGTCTTGATTATATACTTTTTTTAAGTATTCCTACATGGATTTAGCAATCTTATATGGCCATAGATTAAGAACAATAATAGGATCCACTGATCCTAAAATCCATGTCATCACCCGAGCATCTTTGGTCTGCCACTGAGTCAGTTTAGAAACATCAGTGGGAGCCTGATCACTCCCATCAATATGACCCCATAACAAATAAATGAAATTGAAATTCCCAAGCAGAATAGTTCTTACCCGTGAATTTCACTGCAATAGAATTAGAAGACATGATAGCCAATAACCAGCCCAAGAACAATCCCAAACAGTAGCAGCCAAACAATTTCAGAAAATAATTGGTAATGATACCTGCCCAAAAATTGAAACCCCAAACCACCCCTGAAGAGATCGACCACCACTAAGGAACCACCAGAAACTGTCGACTAACGCAACAAACTACTAGAAACTACCGACAACCTCAGAACCAAAGGTGCGCTACCAAGAAAACCCACCTAGAATGTGCCGAAAAAAAAAAAACCACAAGAGACACTCAGACAGTGTCGAAAATACCAAGCAGCCCCAAAAACAACTCCAGACAGCAACGATGAGGAAGCCCAACGTGACCCAAAGACACCGAAAAGAAAAAAAACAGAAACCCACACAAGAAAGTTTTGTAACTTAAGAACTTGGCTCTGATACCATGTCAATTGGATTCAATGTCCTCTTTGTGAGG